GAGATTCAGCCCATTTTCGAGTCTCTCCATTTTTTGGAGGATGACCTTTTGCCATGTTGCTTTTCGTGCTGTCATAGTCCCCCTTCATTTTGTCTATAGGCCACTGCAGACTATTTCTTCCAGACTCAACTTGTTCTATGCTACCTCTGATTAGGTCGGTGGCTTGGAGCGATCCTTCATCTTGATTGTTATCATTCGTCGAATGATTCTCGGGTAGTGCGTACGCCTTGAAGTTCGCTATTAGCGGCTTCAAGTTTGTCACTGCGTTCGTTACGGGTTTTCCGTATTATCGCTTCGATCGCTCCGTGTCGACGGGGCCACAGCGAGCCTCTTGAAATCAGAAGTTCTGATTTACTGGTCCAAGGACCAGATTTTTCCTCTTGTCGATGTAACAGTGTTTGGCCGATGCACCAAAACTGTTACTTCAGTGGTAGATTTATTGGACTGAGCAATACATTGCTTGGCTTATATACGGTAGCAACCATTCCAGATTTTACAGTACTGAGAGATGTCGTACAAAAAGTAACGTCAGATGCCAGCCTAAGAAGAAGTGACTGATCCTACATCAGCTAAATGAGAAGGAGCATATAGCGTGTTACAGCAGAAAGTCGTGGTTCACCACGACAAACCCATTCAAGATGCTCAAGCAAAACTGAAAAAGCAAGAATGAAACCGAATGTAACTTCGAGCTGGTGCCCGACTACTCAGCTAGAATTCTACTGTTAGACAATAAATGACTCTCACAACACAAAACAACTCGAAGAACCCTCGTACAAAGTGATATACCACCTCAAACGAAAAAAGGATTCGGAGCAATTCTCAACTCAAAGCTGTAAATATTAGTTGCACACCATCCTTTTCGCCGTTTCACTGTACACGCTGTCGATGATGCTGCATATCTTTTGCTTTGCACGCTCCTCCTCCTCGGGTGTCAACTTGTCATCAGCTTTACAGCGAGAAGGCTGAAATCATTGTAGTATATCTTTGAGATTGACGCAATCGAAAATTGTTGAAACTGAAGTAAGCACTACGTGATGAAAGAAGAAGTGGAAAACAGCGGCAACGACAAATGTATAAAGAATCAAAACGTTCACCCGCTTTGACTTTTTACGTAGTGTTTCTGGAGAAGATTGCTGCTGTTTACGAACAGATTCTAGAAACGACGGAGCGGGATCCTGCAACTGATCTCTGCAATTTACAGAAGAAAAACATGAAAATGGGTGCAAGAATCAATGCAGAAACAAAGGTTTTGAAGTAAAAAAAAACATGTGCAATCGAGCTTGAAGGACTTGCAATTTTGTCAAGTGCACTAGGAAACACTCAAAAAAAAATCTCTCAACCTCAACAGAAGAACGACATCCACGGTACAATAATTGTGATTTACGTACGTCACGATTAAGTTACGAATTACAACAGTAGTGGAAGCCAACCAGAAACAATGTTGCTGCGGAAGAAATCTTCACATATATGAAAACAGCTAAGACAGACATTCCCATTTCTGCTCATATCTTTCAGTAATGCACTTTTAAAGCGGTGGAAGATGGAAGAAAACGAGACAAAACGAGAACACAATAGTCAGAAAAAGAAGCACATAAGCGCAAAAAACAACCTCATCAACAATCTCAAGTGGCGGAATTTCGTGCGTGCCAGTACTCCGGTGCAGTACATGGAGTGCGACACGTTTCATGGCTTCCAGGCGACGGCATTGCTTTTTCACTTGGTATATCCTTTCACGAATCCGAACAGACTGCTAAAAAAGACCAAACCACATTTTAAAGATGAACTCAAACAAGGTCCAAGGTAGTATTAGGTTAGGGGTCATTTTGAATATGGGTTTAGGCGATTTAGCAAATCTACTGACAGCAGCTTACAACCAATGAGACAGACATGAAAAACAAGACCCTAATACACGTTTAACAATCCGTATCCTTCTGTAGGCAGAGGTGATCAAGAGTGTGGACTTATATCTGCACTGAGGAAAGCAAAAAGCTCGATTTCTCCCGTGACAAGTACAGTGCCCTCTAAATTTGCAAAAACGGCGAGGGAACAGCATAATGCTCAGGTTATCAAGCCCGTTGATGGAAAAGCTGTAACAAAAAATGATCAAGTTTAATAACCCTTTGAAGACAATGC